AGATTGTCACAAAAGTGAAAAAACTAATGTGTAATTTTCGTTTTCTGAAACTATAATATAATCTTGTATTGCTTAAACAACATACAGTGTATATATTTATTTATTTTTTATTTTTTTACTTTTTACCAATTATAATGATTGACTTTTATATTTATAAAAATGAACTTTGAAATGGGCTTCTCTTATTTCACAAGTAATTGCTTTGTTAAGTGTCAAAAAAATTGGACATTTTTGCGATGTGCATTAAACTAGTTATGCACATATCCTGTAAATTATAAAAAGAAACCGGTGCTGTAATATTTACACGCTCGTCATTTTCAGAAAACCAGCAGCCATGAAATCCATCGCCATCATCGCAATTGCCCTTGCCTGTGTGCTCGGACTTGCCACCGCCCAGTTCGGTTATAACCCAGCTGTCCAACAAACCGGGGGATTCGGAAATGGTGGATGTAAGTGTATACATTAGATTGATATCATCATTTCACTGATAGTAGTAATTATCTTCCATAAGGGGGCTAGAGTACGATTTTCTTTTATCAAAATACGCGTTTATCATAATGAAAATAACTCATTTTCACGTTAAACGGTTTTTATTTTTGGTATGTGATAAAAAGAATATTAAATGAGTGTAAGTTCATTATTGAATTTATTGAGCCCGTTAAATAAAATAATAATATGCTCGCAGGAGGCTCGCATTATATAATTTTATTTAACTCCTTCAATAAATTCAGTATTGAAATTACACTCATTTAATATCCTCTATTTATGTTATTAACACTATTAGTTTTATATAGGCTTTAATCCTTAAATACTGTAAAATCTCCTTCTTTGTTATGTGATTTAATTCGAAGTGTTCGACAATCTAAGCTATTTAAATAGATATAAGATAGTTACGCTGCTATATTTTTATTTTAACGGCTGTCTTACAAAAATACTTATATGAAAAGAAAGGATTGTTGTTTGGGTTATTCTTAAACGAAGTTCGATTTTATAAACAACTTTATTTGTAAACAAAGTTAATTGCATGATATATGGATATTTTGTAGAAATAAAATTCCAGCCATTTTTCTCAAGACGCAAAACAGTACAAAATCAATTAGTATATACATGCAACAGTAATTCCTAAAAGCTAAAAGAAACTCATTACGTCAGCGAATAATAACCACATTGTAGCAACAAAACAAGCGTATTGCAAAACCAAATAAGTGTATTACACAAAAGCACTTCTATTTTTCATAGTACTTCATAGAACCGCATAGTGACGTAATAAAGTGAATGATAATGAGGCCAAATAAAGGTTGACACTAAATATGTTAGTATTCATCCGTGCTGTTCTACAGAAATTAGAAACATTCTCCTGTCGCTATCGCTCCCGTCGAAGTTTCTAATTTCTGTAGAACAGCACGGATGAACACTAACATATACTAAGTATATACATGCAACAGTAATTCCTAAAAGCTAAAAGAAACTCATTACGGCAGCAACTAATTACCACATAATAACAACAAAACAAGTGTATTGTAAAACCAAATAAGTGTATTACACAAAAATCACGAGAACTGATTTTGTGACTATTAACTTAAATATTTCACTGCATTTTTAATTTAGAAGATGTAAAACGTATATGAAAGACAATATCAATTTGTTTGTTTTTGTTTTTTTGTTTTGTTAAAAAATCATTTATTTTTTTATTTCATGTAATGTTACTATTTTGGGTCAATGAGCTCTCGTTCTTTTTTTTTTAAATTAAAAATTCACATTTCGTCACATCTTTCATATTGCAGTCTTGTACCTTATTGGTTTATTGGTGGTTCTCTTTGCTCTATTTAACAACACTTCGTCTGGCAGCGGAAACACCAACATTATCTACGGCAATTTTTCTGGCGTGTAAGTTCTCTATATTTATTACTTATTTACCCATGTTTTAATTTTTCCAGTTTTATATCTGATCGGACTCCTGGTTGTACTTTTCGCCCTTTTTGGCTCTGGCACATTTGGCTCAACTAATACGTTCATCTACGGAAACTTCTCAGGGGTGTAATGTAAGTCAAATCTCGTTCATACCAAATCTTAGAAAATTATTCGAACCCTTAGAAATAAGTACATAAAGAGCACTTATTATACAGGCATACATGTATGTTAACGACCACGAATACTTACATGGAAATTGAAAATGTTTCAAATATCATAATACATGTACATACATACATACTTAAATCTTGTAATAACGCTCTGTATGACAATTGTGCTGATTGCCAGTAATAAATATGCTAATTGTTTTAAATATAATTTAAAAGAATTATCTGAACAGTAATACTGGTTATAAATTAAATAAATAATCCATTGCATTATAATAATTATTCTCTTTCTTATTCCAGACGTAAATAAGCGCTAAATCCGCGTATCCGTCCTGTATACCGGATAAAGAACAACTGGTGGATATTTGAACGTTTGCTATGTGATCAATATTTCATCTGTACTGCTGTGGTGGCAATATCTCATGGACTAAAAAAATGAATAAAATTTCATCTGTCTCAACAAATATCTTGTTTGTTTTATTTCTAAATTGATGTGTGTATATCAAACACCACTTGTGGACCGACCAGATGACTTCCTTAATACATAGCTCGTATAATTTTGTTGTTAGAAATTTACAAGTTAAATGTCTTCCCGGAAGGAGAATTTTTTAAAACTTTAAGGATAACAGACACGTATGTCTTTAAGAAAGTTATAGTTTTCTATTCTAGAAAGCATAAAGCATATGTTATAAACTCATCCCCGTAAAATTGTCTCCCCTTTTCACAGACAAATGTTCAAATAATTAAAACCAGTGCTAAAGTGTAGGGCATCTTATAAAACTGAATAAATACATTGTACAAGATATATAAGCAAGTTGTAAAAATATGGAGAAAATGCCTGACAACAGTCTGATATTTATAAATACCTTATAGAATTTTGGTTGAACGTAGTTTGTAATTTGCAAAAGAATATTAAGCATTTACATCTTTCTATTTTTTTTTATTTACCAAATACATATGTAATATCTTTGTTGAAATTACTTGAGAAAATACAAAGTTCAGATCAGTAAAATGAAAGTAAGCGATTCTTGAGTATCGAACCTAAGACCTCTTATTTAAAAAACGAGCATCTTACTACTGAACAACGGCCTGTGCACGATATCGCCGGTAAAGGTTAGGGTACTTATACAATTCGTTGTGTAAGGGGAGATAATCATAACTTCGGGCGTCAAAACATACGACATTTTATCCCTTTTGTCTTATTTTTTTTATATTTTTAACACAATATTCTCTCATTAAAAAATGACCGTGTGTGCATTCTTTGCTGCTTTTATTACTGTCTTATCATAAATAATCTAAATGAAAAATTCGTATTACATTATAATGATTGACCAATCCCGTGCGCATTTAAAATGAATTATTTATTTGTAAGATATCTTATTTGTAAGATTGCAAACGTAAACTTCTGATATGTTGTTTAAGCAACTGAGCAGATTTTCGAGTACTCAAAAGCAAAACAAAGAATGAAACAATATAAATGAAAAGGAATAGACAATGAAAAATAGAAAAACTCGTCTATATAAAGCATTGTAAGGAAAAAGTAAATTTTTGAAATATAGTTCCATAAAATCTTTGTTATATGATAGTTGTCGCATTGTTACAGTTTTGTCAGTTCATCTATAAGCCACTTCAAATCACTTTATTTTTCTGTATTCCGCAGCCTTTGATATTCCCGCAATCTGAAACATAATAAACTTGCAGATACAACTTTGATATCTGGTTCATTTGTTTGCTTTTTACGCCAATATGAATATATGAGCCGCGTCACGACAAAACCAACATAGTGCGTTTGCGACCAGCTTGGATCCAGACCAGCCTGCGCATCCACGCAGTTTGATGAGGATCCATGCTTTTCGCTAACCAACCATATTACAAGTAGAGAAACTGATAGCGAACAGCATGGATCCTGATCAGACTCTGCATCAGATGTAAAAGGCAAATGACCATTATGCCCTGGTCACATATTCACGGATAATGCCACGGAAGAGTTACGGTCTAATCGTTCACGGATTACTACGGAAATGTGAAATTCCGTTGTCCGCTACGGTTCCAGTACGGACACACAATGGTATGAGTACGGAGTCTGACGGATTTACCACCAAAAGCCCCCGGAGAGACACGGATTGTTACGGACCGACACGGTTTGATACGGAGCGACACGAATCAGGACGGACGCACTACTGATACACTACGGTCTGTTACGGTATAAGCACGGGTTAGTACGAATAAGTACGGTCTGATGCGGAGAAGAACGAATTGATACGGAGAATAACGAATTGCCACGGATCTATACGGACCTATTATATCCGTCCAAAACCTCTTGCATGCAAAGTTTCAAAATGCCTCACAAGAAAAGAACACATAAAAAAGGAATTGCAAAGTTCAATGATTTTGGCGGAGAGGATTCGGCCTCATCGCGTTCGACCCCCGAGACATATCAGGTCCGATTAAAGTAGATTTCTTGAAGGACGCCGGAACCTAAACAAGGTCGGCTATGAGAGCCTCATACTAAACATGAAGGGGTCTTCGTAAAAGCCCATCTCTAGTCCACCATCTCGTCTACATTAGGACTAGTAATCATTAATGAAAAATGTTGATCAATACTGCTTCTCTTTTAATTTTAAAATTTGCTGTTAATTTTACAATTACATTAATCATCGTGAATGTTTATGTTTTAAAAATATGTAAAAAGCTTGTTAATTAATCTTATTATCATTCAAGAGCCAGCGTCCGAGGCTTATGAGACACTTCGTTTTATGTACATATTTACTCCATTCTCACGATCCAATGTTTGTAAAATATGTAACATTAAATGTTATTCTATCACTTATGAATTGGTTTGCCGTAATGACTGCTTTGATGCGCAACTGCGTGTTGTTGTTGTGAGTAGCTTCGTGTTTTTCGCTTACAGCCTACAGCCTCACCGCTGGCTTCCACCTAGTGGGAACCGGGGAGCCACTTGAAAGCCTTCCCTGCCAGTTATAGCCTCTCATGCAGTAAGACCGCTGTGGCCCATTTATGGGACCTCCCCGAGGTGGCAAACGGAAACTGGGCACCTTGCGGCCCCAGGCTAAACCACTCGGTCTTGGAGGATCTAGGCCCCTAAAGGCATGGCTTGCATGGCCCACCGGTGTGTGGATATGCCCTGAAGCCTGCTAACCTAGAACCCAGCTATGGGTCAAAATAGCTCCACAGCCTCGTGGTTTAACAAATGGCCTGTCACAACCTGGGTGACAGTAGCTGGAACGACGAGCACCATCATAACCGGTGTAACGGCAATCCAGCAGTGGTCTCTGAGCACAACAGCCCGAGTTAGATCGGAACGGTGGAGAAGGACAACTCTTATACCAAACCAAGGGAGACAACCCTTTCAAAATCACCACTGCCTTGTGGTCAGTCGTTGGGTCGGCAAGGGCTTTGGGTGAGGTAACCCTAACCAACCTAGAGAGTTGAAATCGGAGATGCTGGGCCATTGGCACTCTCTAACAAACCACTGCATCACGTAACCAACGCTATGACTACACGAAACAAGCGTGATCGTGTAGAGCGAACGCCAGTAAGTAAGTAAGTACTTATGAATTGTAGTACGATATAAATATATTTTTAACTCTAGGCATGTCATCAAGCAGCTCGACGACTGCCTCTGCATTCTGAGCAATTTCAATATAAATTTGTAGCCAGTAAATGGCAATTATCATTTATTGAATATTCCCGCAAATATGTCTGTTTTTAACAAGAAGCTTGAAAAAGTACATTCTACTTAATTTTATCCGTACTAAACAGTGGTGGACCGTACCATTCCGTACCGTTTCGTGTTGCAACGCAATATACCGTATAAGACAGTGCTAATCCCTGCCTCTCCGTAGCACAACGTATTACGATCGTGGCTTTCCGTGACAATGCCGTATTAATCTGTATTAAAACCGTAGCTTATACGTAGGGTAACGTACAAATACGTAGTTCTCCGTACCAAACCGTGGAAATCCTTGACAAGTTGGTGGACTACGAATCAGTACGGACTAGTACGGTTTTCGTACGGACAAGTACGTATCAGTACGGTTTAATACGGACTAGCAGGGATACGCTACGGTTGATTTTTCCGTAGCAAATTTTTGTGCATGTTCAAAAATTGTCAAGGATCGTTACGTATATACAAGGACTACTACGATTGATTAAGGTTACATTACGGAGAGCTACTGACCAGTACGGGTAGCTACGGACGATGCCGATGTACGAACCAGCGTCCCTTTGATCACAAACCCCGATGCTCTCCCTTTTTGAGCGGGCGGACATTATTTCCGAAATGGCAAACTTAAGGAACGCTAAGATATATTGTGATATTCCTAGATACTTAAACTATATAATTATATATATATACGCTGGTGACTCAAATGAACCATTCAAATAAAAGAAATAAAGTTTGTTAAACAACTTTTATCTTTTAAAATTTAAATAAAATAATAATAATAATACCTTAGTGCATTTATTTTAATAAAACCTCCAGCATCCATTGGTTCATACTCCCCTTGTACGTTCATACTAAAATCAATAATATAACAGGGAATTAAAACCTACATATTCTATGTTAGGGCGTACTATGAACATGTTCAGATAGTTCCACCATTAAAGGGACGAGGCTGACATTTTATGACATGACGGGACTGGAAATAATTTTTCGAGATTAATGCGCCATATGACGAATGTCCAGATCAAAATTTTATGTACGAAATTTCATATCATTCGCTCAATTTGCAAGAATGATTATCCTAATTGTGTCTTATTGTAAAATAACCCGTACTAAAAGGTATTGCAACGCATTTAACTCAAACTGGGCTTTGAATATGACAAAATACCATTTTAATTCATTTCTGCGTATATATTGTTATTATATTTGCATACCTTTCTGTTTATAAAAAGTGCCTAAGCTTATCTATGTAAGAAATTCAAATTTTATGTTTTTAGGCTTTTGGACCTCAGTAGAGTTCCTTTAATGCATTTGATCACAACAGTATGTATTCGTTAGTCAGAAATAAAGTTTTGATTTAAGGTAACTGACTATATGAACAATAATGAATAATTTGGACCCAAGTGCCATTATGAAACATGTTCCGCTTAATTCTGTGATTTCGACGACAAATATTAATTGATACACAAATAAACGGAATGCTAATGAACTTGATCAACATTTCTAAAATAAGAATCACGTGCTTGCATTGCCAAGACTATTCTGACATCTATATAATAATATATACTATTTGTAAGATAATATAGAATCTGACAGGTTTTTACCTAACTAATTCCTCATTATATAAACTATTTGTAAGATAATATAGAATCTGACAGGTTTTTACCTAACTAATTCCTTATTATATAAACTATTTGTAAGATAATATAAAATCTGACAGGCTTTTACCTAGCTAATTCCTCATTATATAAACTATTTGTAAGATAATATAGAATCTGACAGGCTTTTACCTAGCTAATTCCTTATTATATAAACTATTTGTAAGATAATATAAAATCTGACAGGCTTTTACCTAACTAATTCCTTATTATATAAACTATTTGTAAGATAATATAGAATCTGACAGGTTTTTACCTAACTAATTCCTTATTATATAAACTATTTGTACGATAATATAAAATCTGACAGGCTTTTACCTAACTAATTCCTCATTATATAGAGAATTGGGTGACTTCCGGCCAAGTATATACACGCCACCTTTGTATATCTTTAGTGTAACCGACCCTTCAACAAATGTCTGACTTCCGGCAATACAGCTTCGGGTGTACTCACACTCTGGACTGAACCAAAATCCTAAAAAAAATACAAATATGTATAACTGATACACTTACATAACTGCTTAGTACGTTACTGTAGTGCCTTAAATGCTGACATAATACTTATTTTTTGAATATACGTTTGGTTATATTTTCGTCGCCAGGTTTATCCGTTTTCGGCTCCATTACTTTATTTCCTGAATATATTAAATTCAAGAAAATTGAATCAAATTGACTCTCATCGCTGTAGGTTCGAATCCGCCGGGGACTTCGGACTCTATAATATGAGAGAACTATCCAGCTAACTTAGTTTTATAAAGGACCCGCTCGGACGGTGGGCACCTGAGGTCTTCCTCATCCAGTAAGGATGAGATATCACCACATGGCCTTTACAGTGTTTTTGCGACGTAAAATCAAACAACAAAAATTTCAAAAAAAAAAAAATAAATTAAAAAAAACCTAATAACGCACAATAACCCTTTACGAAATAACTCCTTCCTATAATCAAACTCACACAATATTACACTTACTTATCTCCCTTGCCCAGTATCTCTCTTTCTTAATATGTCTCTCTAACTCACTATATCTCTTTACTCTGTCGCGCGTACACACTCGCTTAATATCTATTTTACTTAATATATCGCGTATTCTTTATATATCTTACCTACTATCTCTTTCGCAATACCTCTCTTTAAACTTAATACCTCTTTTATTCAAAATATTTTATAATTATGTCTCTTATTTACTATCCCTCTACCTGTCACCTCTATCAATCACTATATCTATACTATATTACCTATCATTCTAAATAATTACAACTCTTACTCACAATCCCCTCTACCTTACGAACTCTCTTATCCACTATCGCTCTACCTCATTTTCTCTCTTACTCACTAACCATCTAACGCATTACCTCTCTTACTCACTACCCATTAACGCATCACCTCTCTTACTCTTTAACTCTCTTATGCATTACCTCTCTTACTCACTCTCTAACGCATTACCTATCTTGCTCACTATCTCTCTAAAGCATCTGCTCTCTTACAAACTAACACTCTAACGCATTAGCTCTCTCACTCACTATCACTCTAACTCATCACCTTTCTTACTCATTAACACTCTAACGCATTACCATTCTTACTCACTCTCTAACGCATTACCTATCTTGCTCACTCTCTCTTTAGCATCTGCTCTCTTACAAACTAACACTCTAACGCATTAGCTCTCTCACTCACTATCACTCTAACTCATCACCTTTCTAACTCATTAACACTCTAACGCATTACCTCTCTTACTCACTCTCTAACGCATTACCTATCTTGCTCACTTACTCTTTAACGCGTCATCTCTCTTACTCATTATCTCTCGAACTCACCACTTCTCTTGCTCACAATCACTGTAACGCATTTGCTTTCTTACTCACTTACTCTCTAACGCATTTCCTCTCTTGCTGACTAACTCTCTAACGCATTACCTCTCTTACTCACTAACGCATTACCTCTCTTACCCACTAACTCTAACGCATTACCTCTCTTGTTCACTAACTCTCTAACGCATTACCGCTCTTGCTCACTAATTCTCTAACGCATCACCTCTATTGATCACTATCTCTCTAACCCATTACCTCTCTTGCTCACTTACTCTCTAACGCATTACCTATCTTGTTCACTAACTCTAACGCATTACCTGTCTTTCTTACTAACTCTAACGCATTACCACTCTTGCTTACTAACTCTAACGCATTACCTGTCTTGCTTACTAACTCTCACGCATTACCTGTCTTGCTTACTAACTCTAACGCATTACCACTCTTGCTCACTAACTCTCTAACGCATTGCCTATCTTGCTTACTAACTCTAACGCATTGCCTATCTTGCTTACTAACTCTAACGCATTACCCATCTTGCTTACTTACTCTCACGCATTACCTGTCTTGCTTACTAACTCTAACGCATTACCACTCTTGCTCACTAACTCTCTAACGCATTGCCCAGCTTGCTTACTAACTCTAATGCATTACCTATCTTGCTTACTAACTCTAACGCATTACCTCTCTTACATACTACATGTGTATATCTCTAATGCATCACCTCACTTATTCACTAACTTTAACGCTTTACCTCCGTTGCTCACTATCACTCTTACGCATTACCTATCTTGCTTACTAACGTTAACGCATTACCTCTTTTGCTCACTTAAATTACTGTTACTCACTAGCTCTCTAAACGATTACCTCTCTTACTGCTCAATGTCCATCTACATTATTATCTTTTAATTCTCATTATCTCATACTCATTACCTCTCTAACTTACTACCTCTCTTACTCAAAACCCTTTCTTCTGAATACCTCCTCTGTTAGTTTTACAAAAAACATCTTAAATCAATTGACGATCTTATATATATTAAATTGAATGTTTACGTGTACACAATAAAAAAAACTTTAATAGAAACACTGTTTAATACAGAGTATTTGCTTACCTTTATAAACTTGTTCTGAAAATTTTATGTCAAGATCACGTTTTATCTTCCTCACTTCCTGAAATAAATTTTAACAAACAGAAACAGCAAATAAAGTTTGTTTCATTGTTTATTTCATTTTTTACAACAACATGTTCATAATGATGATAATAAAATGGCACACTAGAAACTAATTTTTGCAATGTGTAATTACAATGTACTTGCAATTGTAACCATTCGGCCCTTTACCGTTGGTAACATAGGTAATCAAAGTGCTCATTCAGTATTAAAATAGAAAATTAATGCACATTTGTCCGTCATTGACATTTATAGAAGCACGAGGACGCAGTTAAAGCGCGGAGGGCGTGGGGTTTGATAAGTCAGTGGGCTTCTCTCGATGTTCATGCATAAAGGAATGTGCATAATCATTATTCTTGCATAAAAATTCACTTGTAATCATGCTCATGCTTAATTGTAGTGTGCTGTCACGTGCTAGTAACGATGCTTTTGAACGGTTACATTTTCACTGTTGTACAGCGTCCACCGGAAATAGCCCCTAAAAACACCGAAAACGAAAGTAGAAAGCTGCATACCGAGTACACCCAAGGTAATGTTTTAACTTATTTCTTCATCATAACTTCATCGATTTTTCCAAACTAAACAATATTGTGATACTAAATGTTTCTAGTTTTAGAGCATTATATGCTTTTGTTTGCAAATTGAATACTTTTTGTTAACTAGGCGATAAAATGTAGCGTATTTGTTGACATGTGCGAACGATGTTGATATTTACCACTAAATTAAGCCCAAAACGCATTTGCTGTATCAAAATTCGCTGTTTAACACAAACTATAGTTATCCCTCTACTTATATTTGAGTTTCCACCCTTCAATTCGAGCTGCCTTTAACAAAATTTGCAAAAAACGGCCTTGCCTTGTGTACAGAGTCTAACAAAGAAAACAAATTCAAGGGAACGGGGTGTAGTAGTTTAATGTACAGGGTTTAGTAGATGTGTACGGTGTATAGCAGTCACATATTTTTTAAAGTATAGTCTTTTATATTATTTTTAATTGGAAATAATCTCAATTCAGGTTAAACATGGATAAATTAGAGGACGATACAGAGTTATTTGGTAAATAATATAACTTTTAACTGTTTTTGAGCCTAAAAGTATAACTACATTTAATTCTTATTGTAAGATCATAACAACCATAAGATGAATAGTATCTGTCGGTATTTATATGACACATGTTGAGGAGTCTTCTGACCAACTCGCTGAATGGAAATAGTCCGAATGGGGATTTATACATATACATGTATAACTACACTACACGTAAGACAGGAGGTCGATAATTGATCAGACACTTAAAAGATTATGCACGTGTGTCATTTTCTACAAAACGGCATCAGCACTGTCTTCTATGAAACAGTCTTAGTCCCCTTATATAAGCTATAATTAGTCGTCTTAGAATAATATTGAGATACTTGAGATACCGTTTCTCTGCTACAATTTGTTGCATAGTACACATTCTTCTAGCTGACCACTGTCTTTAAATGAATAAATTACAGTTGGTAGAATCTGTACAAACTCTGCACATGCGTCATCTTCTTGAGATAAGTCCAATGTACAAAACTCAGCATTTGTGGAAGAAACATCAGATGTACAGAATTCATTTTCATTGAGATTGCCAAATTTTATGATTTTCTTGAATGGACTATCCTTTGGTACATTGTTCCCTCTAGAAATATGAAATCTCTTATTTTTGTCAGCAATAGCTTTTGTTCGACCTTGTTCTGTACATAACTATGCGGTCACTTTGTAGTTAATGATTTTACCAAAGCTCATTAACATATTTTTGTTTTTCATTGAAGTCTTAAGACCAGTAAAGTAATAAACCAATATAACAAGTTTAGTTCACAATGCATAACTCGAACATGGTTTGATATTGTTTAAGACAAATTATAGAATTTGCTGTAATGTTCTACCCATATGGATTGAAATTGCGGTCTTTTGAGTTTTACATTTTTCCTATTAACTTCTAGTCAAGAATTAAAACGTGGTCTAGCAGGACGGAAACTGTTTACTGCAATTAATATACATGTTGCGTAACATGTTTATAATTTAATTAAACATGTTTATCTTTTATAAAATAAAAATAATTCACTTCACAATCCCTGCTCCCGACATCGATCGTTTTCTTCATCAGCGTACGTGTATATGCTCTGGTACTGAATTTATTTTGCAGAAAATGACATTCGTTTACCTACTACACCCCGTACACTCGCTGACAGTTTTCCATCTTCACCCCGTACATATCTGTGCTAGACTCTGTACACAAGGCAATGCCGTTTTTCGCAAATTTTGTTAAAAGCAGCTCGAGTTGAAGGGTGAAAACTCAAATATAAGTAGAGGGATGACTACAGTTTGCATTAACGGCGGAATTTGAAAAGCGTTTTGGGCTTGATTTAGTGGTAAATATCAACATCATTCGCAAATGTCAACAAATACGATACAATTTATCGTCTAGTTAACAAAAAGCATTCAATTTACAGACAAAAGTAAACACTGCTCTAAAACTAGAAACATTTAGCATCACAATATTGTTTAGTTTGGAAAAATCGACGATGTTATGATTTAGAAATAAGTTAAAACATTACCTTGGGTGTACTCGGTATGCAGCTTTCTACTTTCGTTTTCGGTGTTTTTAGGGGCTATATCCAATGGACGCTGTACAATAGTGATTTTGATAATGTAGCTTCTGGGGCTGTCATTGCAGTAAGCTATTTTCAAATGGCGCCATAACAAAGCATATAAAAAACGTGCAAACAACGGTGCGTGCTCACGTGACTTTCTTCAGTAAATGCATATTTGAGCCGCGCCATGACAAAACCACATAATGGGTTACAGACCCTATAACAAGTAGAGAAACCGATAGCGAACAGCATGGATACTGATCAGACTGCGCGGATGCGCAAGCTGGTTTGGATCCATGCTGGTCGCAAACCCATTATGTTGGTTTTGTCATGACACGGCTCAATTTTCTTCTCTGCATGCGCAATGTTTATGCAAGAATGGGGGTTACTAACAAGAACCTATTAAGGCGGGATATATCAATTATAGCCGTGTTCAGCAAAACTAAAAATATTTAATAGTAATAATGAGACATCGTTGTCAATTTTAGTAATTGATGAATTAATAAATGAAAAGCCGGAAAGTATTTACCCTGTCTAATGTGAAAACTTCCAGGTCAATGTGAGCAGCTAGAAGAATGTTTCCACCAGGTGTCTCATAGATTCCTTAATATAAAAATAACATCAATCATTTTCAACTATATGTACAGGGATTGAGCAGTAACAGTTTTTTTTGGTTCCGTCAGAATTGGTTTACTGAATAGTTGGCTAATTAAAGGCAGAATCTGGTCGTAACTTATCATTAATTAACAATGGATGCAATTAAAATGAGATTACAACAGACAGTACTGGTAATTTTAAAGTATTCTCCTAAATAGTCCAGTAAATTTTGTGTAAGTTAACCCTTAACCTGCTGGAACCAATAGTGACAAGACTTTGACATCAGTATGAAGTAAGGTTAGTCTACACATTTGTGCGATCTCAACATGCTCTTGGTATTGTTTGAAGTTCAATTCTTGTATTTTGATCTTCAAATCTCGTTAAATTTTGTAATGAATGCTTGCTCCAAATTTAAAGTAGGATCAATCAATTGCAAAAATAAGGCTTCACTTATAGCGAACTCGGTTATATCGAATTTCCTCTTAATTACAAATGTAGATAAATTCAGCAGGTTCGACCTTCAGCTGACACATTAAGTTTTGATTTGATGTATAATATTCTTTACCTCTTGATTTCATCCCTATAAATCTGTTCTCGACTATATCTATCCTCCCGACACCATTCTGTCCTCTGAAAATTACAACTTCTTGTATATAAATGGTAATCGTAATGTTAAACCCCAGACACACTAGAGCTTACGATTACTTACGACCACCGGCGACTTGTAAAACTGACGATCATCAGCGATTGTCTGCGACCAAAACCATTTATGCACAGATAAATTTACGTTTGCGAGTATCGTAAGACAAGTAATCATTGAAAATCGTACGACAGGTCATAAGTAAACGTACGATGGTCTCAAGATTGCCTGGGATTACTTACGACTACCCGTGTCATAACATGCGATCACCTACAACTTGTCGTACGACCATCACACGATTACTAAAGACTACTTAGGATTATCAGTGACTAGTGGCAATTTGTAAAGACTGTCGTAAGATTGTCGCACTTCCGAACAACCATCGTGCGACAGTCTTAAGACCTTATAAGATCACTAGCGACCTGTTTGATCGCAAGGAGGTTTTTGTGCAAGCTCAAAAACCTCTTTACGACTGAAATTGGTCGTGGGACCTAAATAAGATAACCTGCGACTGCCAAAGATCACCGATGACCGTCGTAAGACGTTTTGAAGATTGTCCGCGACCAGAGGTCACTCGTGATCGTGAACTGGTCTTCACTGGTCGTAAGCTCTAGTGTGACTGGGGCTTTACGTACATAAACATATACACGCATATTGTATTTCGGCACCAAATCATAGGCGTTCGGCATATTTGTCTTGTCATTAATGGTAAAATTATCATAAAATTATCTCCCCTCGATCATCAAGAACAAAATTACTATCCAGCATTCGTCTAATATACATAATATATTATTTTCAAAAAAGCTAAAGTTAATTTGAAACAAATATTTAACATTAAAGTACTAGTGGCAAGTGATGCTTCATTATGATAATATGGTTTGTCAAATAATGGTTTCAACAAGACATACACTGTTGTTATTTTCTTAATCTGACATTTACTCCAAAGAAGGTTGGTGGCCCTATCAATGAGCCTTCTAGTATCTAAATGAAAACGCAACTTTAGAAAGTATTTCTCAACCAAAGTAATTTAATCCACTTTTAGTCCTAAAAGTTTTCATTCTCTCAAAACATTCCTGCAACTGTTTCAGTTTTCAGATTTTTTTTGCTTACCATTTTAATTTATTTCAAACTTGTAAATTAGAGTCGTGTAAAAATATATTACCCAATCAGATTACAGTATTGAAAAAGCTCCAGCGGTTGAGTTTTTACCGTGCCGTCACCTTCATTCCGTACTGAAACCGGAAGACCTAAATAACGAAATATTTTGTCCTCTGTTAGTTTTGCCAAGTTTTATTTATTATGTACTTAAGTAGGTCCAACTTTAAAAATTAAAATAAATGAACAACAAGTTATTGACACAAGCATGATATTTGGACTAATACTATAAGTATAAGGCCCCCCTAGATCATTGCAAACTGTTTGCAAAGTGACAAAATGAAACAGATAAAAGAAACGAACATAAACATTTCAAATTGTTTAATTTGTTGTAAGCGACTTTGGATGCCAACTGTTTCACAATACTTTTACTTAAGTACAAACATTTATAGAGTACAAATGTAACGTCAGAGACTTAATTTCCATGTTAACTTACATAACACACAAACATATACAATACAAAATCTTAATAACTTGGCGCAACTTCATATTTTAAGATTGGTTAGATATTAAAATTAGAATTTTCTTCAGTCATTATCGTCGGCTGTCCTAGCGCTGAATAACCACGTTGTACATTATACCCGAGAAACCTGGGCGCTGCACAGCGCCACCTATAGCAAATAATTACAACGAAACAGGGGGAAATAATTATCTTCTAATTCACTGCGTTCAAACGCAGAAAATTATATATACTTTCCGATATTGTTACTTATAAAATAAATGTATAATATTTTTTTCTGGTTGCTGCACATGCCAGTTCATTTAGTTAATTGAACTTAATTCTACTTGAAATTATAAAAAGGCACATTTATTATTCAAGTATGCATGTTTATATAGCAATATTTGTACCATTCGCCAATCAATGATATCAAAAACATTTAGATACATTATTTATTGCTGGATTTTTTTTATATTGAGTACAAAAGTAAATATTTAACATTTACTCGACTTTTTTGTATTTATCATATTCTTTGAACTAAATAATGATTTCAGGTAGATTAAATAAAAGGCAGGCAGTTCATAATGAGACATCAGATGTCAATGAAAGCAGAAACTGTGTAGTAACTGGCTCGCCATCTCCAAATTTGTGCGTACACTGACATTTCATCAATCTTACTGATATACTCGAAAAATGTAGCGTGTATTTCTTAGTAATCACTCGACCATGCCGGTTTTTATGCAGCATTGTTGTATATTATTTATGTATACTTTTAATTGTTTCAATTTTTTTATCCGTTTTTCTTTTATAAAAGACACCAATTTTGCGTGATTAATACTTTGTTATTTCGATAATGGCATTCCATAAACAAGAACAATTCTAAGCAAAACAATTGAAGGCCCGAAACGTACAATACAATGCATACAAATCTACGGTGTTCCGTTTGGACACTCGTGACTTTTTATTTAGTCTGTACCCGCGATGCGCGATGGTATGATGGTGAAAACGTGATAGCACGATGGTACGATGGTGAAAACACGATGGTACGATGATGATCGCGATGATACGATGGTGAAATCGCGATGGAACAATAGTACGATGGTGAAAACGCGGTGTTACATCCCTTTTTCACCATCGTACCATCGCCATTTCACCATCGTACCATCGCGCTTTTACCATCTTACTATCGCGTTTTCACCTTCGTACCCTCGCGTTTTCACCATCGTACCATCGTGTTTTCACCATCGTTCTATCGTTCCATCGCGTTTTCACTCTCGTTCCATCGTGCATCGCGGTAACAGACTAAATTAAAAATCACGACTGTCATAACGGAACACCGTACAAATCTCGTACATGTCATAGCGTAGCATGGAGGAGTCTGTTAGTGTAACAAGAGCGGTTATTCCGTCTGCTTAACGTACACCTTTGTCACCATCGGAGCATCACTTCAAATTCGGTGTTTGATATCCGGTCTAAATCTAAGATTATTTAATATAAGTGGTTCTCTTTTCTGATGATATGAATCATTTATTCAAATATACTCAAAAATGAAAACCGTAATTCAACCTTGGTACTATTCCAACGTTCTATACTTATTTCGTGTGCTGAGTGTGTTACTTTTACCAAAATGATATCGAACATATTATTGCGAAATAAAGTAGGGAAATACAACTCACTATCAGGGGTTCATTAAAGGGCCGTTGTAGTCACGGAAAAAAACTGTTCATTTATAATGTATTATATAGACCTATCACAACAGCAAGTAATGAAAGCCAGAATTGCGCAGAATAAGATATAGGTATACAGAAAATATCAGATGTTTTATCTGAAAAAATCGTTTAGTATTTTTGGAGAGTTAAAACATTTAAGACAGAAAACAAATAATAGAATGAGAAAATATAAAAGCTCATGATTTAATCAAAACTGTGAGGTCGCTAGAAAAGAGTTAAAACGTGCAAATAAAAAATATTGTAAGAACAGGTCGAATCAAAATATAGAAATACTAGTTTACAACAGACGTCTTTATAGAATAGTTTTGGAAGGAAATTAACAAAAATTAAAAAAGAAATCCTAGACTAGTAAAAAATAAATGTCATCTTAAAATGTTTTAACATTTCAAAAACGTGTTTCCAAATGAAGAGACATACAAGAATAATTTCATTTGAGGAACATTTAGATAATTATAATATAGAGTTTACATCAATGATGAAGAACTTCAATCATCGTGAGCTCCATGATGTGATAAATGCTATTCTCCCCCGCCCCCACCCCCAGGCCCCACCCCCTTAAGAGCGGTCAAAGTGCTGGTAGAAAACCTTACTCCAGAGATATTTATTGAATATAAAAACATTTTAGCACCAATACCGTGTTATGTACATTGTTTAATCATATATTTGATACAAAATGAATATTTCGAAACGTGATGTAGCTCTAGGTGAATTTGGACGATTTACTCAATTACTTCTGCGAAAAATCAGACTTATTAAGTACTTGTACAGAATTATGAAACCCCAAAGCCCTATTTTATACATGCTGATGAAGTTTTAAAAGATGCAAATGGTAATTTATTAAATTAAAAAGTTACAATATGTTTAAAATTGAATTTTATTCAAGAGAATTATTGAAGCTAATTATCTAAACCATCGTAATATGATATTAAGATTTAAGTGCTCTATGCACAAATAAGCTATTGAAAAGGGTAGACATAGAAATATTGGGGAGGAAAAACAAACGTTTCGCAAACAAATTGAGACTTTGTATCATTTTTTATTAGAATGTCCACATTATTATGACACGAGGAAAACTTGTTTATCGAAATATTATTGTCCATTGCCTAATTAAATAAATTGATATCAATAAAGAATTGTACTAACAAAAATTTAATTGTTAACTTAACAAAATATTCAGCGATAAAACTAAAAATTGAATTTGCTTAATACATTTGTTTGAATTATTGTACACTGAAAAATATGATCATAATTGAGAATGTATCATACGTTTTCTCGACCTTGTATTCTTTTGCCAAAACGTAACTTAGAGATGAACATGTTGTGACGATGTTGGTAGTTTTCATTCGATTCGGGAAGCCACATTGAATTCGCCTGAGCACAGTTCAACCACCGCATCTTTCCTGGGCAGGCTGTCAAGCAGTTTACCAGTACTAGTTGCCTTCACTTTCGCAAGGAACTGAAACTGTACATGCTAGAGCAGAGGTACAATGCGAATGACTGATCAATCACAACGAAAGTGACCTGCGCCGTGCGGGAATCGAACCCGATTTACAGTCCAACGCTCTCCCTATTGAGCTAACCGGACGGCTAGATAATCTTACTAATTAATATTTGACTTCACTTGTTATTAACAACATATTTTATAACATATTAAAGATCCTGTGACTCAAAATTTTGTATGGTATAATATCATAAATATAATTCTCAAACGAATATTTATCAATATTGTAAGTTCTAAAAAGCATTATTTGTAAAGATATTACCGAATTTACATAACATGTGAATAAAGGGAAGTAATTAGAAATTTAATTGCCATTTTTTTCAATAAGAAATGAATGCATATATTTCAATGATTACTTATAATGCGTATAAACATTTGCAGTACATATGTAACATATTCTTGGATGTTTGAACATTGTTTTAGAAGAATAATTATATACATATGTAACATTTCACTTTACAGTTGTTACATCCTTAATTACAACATACAGGATCTTAAAGAAGCGGTAAACAAATCTATAGTAACATCAGTTCTGATAACCGTTTTGTAATCATTAGCAAGTTCATAAATATTTACAGTGTGTCACAACACCATGAAGTAATAATTGCAGTTACACACAAAAAAAAATAAAAACAAAATAATCACAAAACGTTTACTCGAGAATACTTGAGTATAATACTAGTCTTTAAATGACACAATTGGTATATTTATGATTTATTCATGTTGATGCTGTATTTTAAACATATTTCCAAGGGAAAAAACTCAGTCTCTTATATAAACAGACAAATATATAAACATTAAAGATGTATAGTTTATTAATACACTGTCTAATCGCTAATCATGCATCGTTTATATCAATTGACAAATGTTAAGTTACGTTCATTCTTTCTCTGTCGCCACAAAACTCAAACAGTACTTGCCGTACACTAGTATAAATGTATTTGATTACGTGTTTTTTTTTTGTTTTGTTTTTTAAAATATTTTTTTTTGTTGTCGTCAGATTGTTTTACAGACACTCACACAGTGGGAAGAACTTGTTAGTTTTGTCAACAGGCGAGCAAGAATAGTCATCTAGGCAATAGCCGCCAGATGGAAAGATGAAAACGCAGTCCGTTGTAAGAGTGGTTCCGTTGTTCAAGAGTTTCTCAGGCTGTCCAGGGCACCAAAGCGGGGGACCAGACGATAGAACGCTGTTGTCGTCCGACCAGAGGAAGCTCTTAGTTAGTGTGGAGTACTTTGCCGCAATCCAAAATCCGATACTTCTTTTATCATTTTGAAAACGAGAAATAAGATCCGGTAAAAGTATTGTTATTGCTCCAAGCGAATGATCATTTTTGAGCAGAGCTAGACGACCACCCTTGTTGGCACATTTGAGGCTTGCATCGTTCAGAGATCTTGTGTCGATGTTGATGTATGTATAATACTTTTTTACCAGGTCAGAATATTCGTATCCTGGACAACCTCTTCTTGAAACAGACGTTGCTGTCGTATTTATTATAGGCGTCACATTTGACGTCATATTATCTGTTGTCGGCATATTCTTAATTGGTTTCTTCTTCTTATTGTAGTATACTTTTGTACTTGGGCTATCTATTAACTGGTGTGTTACATCTTCTGGTTTCACAGCTAGAAAATCGGTTGACATTAACTGACAAGAATTTGTGAATGTTGTGTAGAAGAACATCAAACAATTGTTCTGTCGGCTACATCGACTTGCGCAACGCATTTTGCTTACATTTTCGTTTCTTTCCAGAATATTATTATTGTAAATTTTTCCTGCCCATGAATCATCACTTTGCCACTCATCTGTCCGTACCGTTTCACAAACAATCCCGTTTGTCGTAAGAAAAATAACGAAAAGGGCAAACATTGCTGTATTTCCTTATTTATTTAATTATTTCAAACGTCTTCTTATATCTTATGCCTGATCAGACCCTGGGGAGCGTTTGAATTTAAACCACATGCCGCTGATTAAATAAAGCTAACTATTTGATTAGGAATCAGTATGACAGGAAATTACTTTTTTCTAGTTATAACCAAGCGTCTTATGTAACTAGGTGTCAAACGATTTAATCCAAAAGGATTGATTAATTTTGTTCTAAAACTAAGAATAGAGAACCTACTGGCCATCGATGAATACATTTCAAAACTCCTGGATAATAATAATAAACAACATACTTCAAGTGAGAGCACCGACTTCCTTCACATCAAGATAGTTTGCCGCCAAAATATCGAATGCAGACGTTAATATAAAAACACTGTTGTATTAGAGATTAATTGAGTCGCTACCTCTAAGAGACCACAGGTGTTCGGCGCATTCTATGATCACTCTACCCGCAACCCCCTCTATACCCCCTCCCCATCTTTCCTACACAATGAAAACTGTTTCGTTTTTTTATTTGTTGTTGTTGTTGTTTTCATGTAAAATATGTTTAAATACAATAATAATGATTGTGATTAAATTTCTATCATTTCAAAATATATCATTTTTTTAATAAAAGAACTTTATATAATATCTTGTATATTAAAACACATTTGTGAAATGAAAGAAAACCTGCAGTTTAGAATGGTTGAGGGTGTGTGACCAATCAACTTACAATTTATATATACATGTATACAATATTAGGCGTCCAACAGTATGTACTATAACTATAGGATAACTTGATTCGCCGATATATAATAATATAAGGTCAATAACATTTAAAATAATTCCTGTAATAAACGTTATCTTCAATGTAAATCAATAAAATAAATTTACCTTTCTGAAAGGTAATTACAAGAACGGTTGGAACATCCGGGGCTTTCTGTGGGTCTACAGTCATTTGATATAAATCATCGGGCGCCTGTGTGATAGGGTCCTCCAGTATACCAGACTCATAGCTTTAAATAAACAAAACTACCTATTAGAAACATATACATAATTATACAATTCAGCTTTCCTGGCAAACTTAGGCTTATATAATTCCACTCGGGAAATTGTAATTGTCAGGTTGGCATTATACATTTTTAAGAGATCTTTAGGCTAGGTATGAACATAGATGACAGTCATTTAACTGATTTAAAGGCCTATTAAACCTAAAAATGCTATCACTTTTATTTTTCAAAAATTCTACTATATTTCGGTGTCTTGTTACAGTTTCCAAAACATTACCCATGGGCCATATATAGCTAAGCCATTTTATGCTTCTTTTTTGCGATTCGTCAATAAGTTCAATTAAAAATCTATCATTCCATTACCTTTGTTCTTTCTACAGAAGGAAATATTTGTTCATTTCCGAGGCTTAATGTGCCTTTAAATGACAGTTCACATATTTTATTGTATAGGGCAAGTTATGATAACAAGCATTGGAGCCGCGTCATGACAAAAAAAAACCCCAACGTAATCCGTTTGCGACCAGCATGGATCCAGACCAGCCTGCGCATCCGCGCAGTCTGATCAGGATCCATGCTGTTCGCTATCAGTTTCTCTACTTGTAAAAGGGTTTGTAAGCGAACAGCATGGGTCCTGCTCAGACTGCGCGGATGCGCAGGCTGGTCTGGATCCATGCTGGTCACAACCCATTATGTTGGGTTTGTCACGACACGGCTCATTTTGTTCATTTCTGAAGCTTAATGTGCCTTTAAATGACAGTTCACATATGTTATTATATAGGGCAAGTTATGATAACAAGTATTTATTCATGTACACATATCACACTGGCAGTATACAATATATATGTAAAACAAAACCAAAGAAATAATGTTTTATGTCATAGATTTACATACAATACATAGGACACCTTAAGAACTTTCTTAAATCAAATAAAGAATGTTTTCCGTTCATGCAGTACAATTTTGCATTATGAAATACATAAGAACACACCACATCGGCTTCCGTCTGTTTACTGTTTATGGACTGAATGATTTGTCCATGTAATAATTCGGAGGTATCAGCGGTGTGTAATTCTTTTTAATTAATTGATTAATATACATTAACGATGACCAAACATTCTGCAAAAAAGGGGACCAAACTACCACACTTTTAAACTAGATTTAGACCACACATACATAAATAAGCGTTTAACGGACCTGATGTGCATCAAGTTAGCGTCCATACTCCACGGACTCTTTGGTGTCACCGGAAGTGGAATTCCTTTCTCCTAAAATTATACAAATGTCACACATGAAGGGAAATAACCGAAAAAGACCATAGTGATATTTAATAAATCAAAAACGAAGCAGAGGTCAAAAAATATAATTTGTTTAAAGATATGTGGCCTTATTCTGTAATAACTATATAATGTACAAATATGTTGTCCGATATCCTACTGGTTTCAGACTTTGTAATACAACAAAATGTTAAGATAATATTGGAATTATTTTTCTACAGTATCGAATTTGTAACATATACTAGAACCATTATTACAAACGATAAATATAAATATGTGATAATTGTTCACCGTATTATCATTATAATTATCATCTAATGTAGTTATATTTATAATAACTGTATGTAACGATATACTGTCTGTATGTGTAAAAGTCGCCGAAATAAATATCATTGCTCTTCTTCTGTAACGATCAACTTTTCTTGCATCATTTATTTGTCGTGCTATAAAGCTAGTAACATTGAATTACATTTATTTCGCAAAGACGCCATGCATTGCTTTGGTCTGCTATATGACTACCGTGATGCATTACGCTAACACAACAAGTCAAAAATTAGTTATATAATATACAAAACATGGCCGACTTTGGCTTCCATAGAATATAACCATATTTAAGAGATCTAATAATTTATCAGGTAAATTCCACAAATATTGATATTTGTAGTTAATCAACATTCTATTGAAGTTTTTATCCTATTTGTTTTATTTGCAGGAACTACGTCAAATAGTTATAAAAATAGGGGATGTCAGCAAACATATTGCCACGTATTAAATTTTACTTTATAATGGTTCACTTATGAATGTAAAATCAGATCAACGAAGTGCTCAGCAAATTTACTGAAAAGATATAAATAGTTATTATTACCTTGGCGTACTCGAAAAGATCATTACGGCCAGTAAAGCGGTTGTAGAATTCAGGTAGTCGCCATGGTGAAATCACCTGCAATTTTTAATACATCAACTTCTGCTTGTTTATCAATATATCGGATTAAAACACTGTTACCTTTCTACAGTCAACAAACACTGAACTGTCCGTATTGTTCCGAAAGTACAATTGTACATATTTTATGAAATTGTTATGTTTATGATGCCTGTTTTATGTTTTGGTAGTACAAGTTCCTTTGGCATTGGCCATATATCTTTTTGACCAGACAAAAATGTATTACAGGTAGAACTTATGTGAATCTAAGTATTAAAAATCAATACAATAGCTTTGTTAGTAAATGATCATACACAAAAAACATAACCAAGCAGGTTCACCGGCGACGACGTCCAATGTCAACCGAGACGTCAACGGAGACGCAAACACCGCCGAGTTGGTCATGACAATATATTCATTTTTTTCTCGAAAAGTGGAGCTTAAATTGTTTAATTATTGAAAATTCAACGTGCAAGAGAAAATTATGTTTCCGAGAAAATCCAGTTTTACTGATATGAATAAGTATGAGTCTCATTTGAAATTAATTGATTACGTTGTGCATATTTCACATTACAGATTACAGAATGTAAGCAAGACGTACATACTTGTATAGTGGAATGTAGAGCATATGCTGAAAGTTCGAATCGTATCTGGTCATTGCCTTTACCGGTGGCACCGTGAGCTACGTACATCGCTCCTTCTTCTTTAGCAACTTTTATCATCGCTCTATAATAACAAAACACAATCACGTGCACATGATATCATTACACGTGTCTACTCATACATTACATATAAATCTGCTGTATGGTATGAAACAGAGTTGTTGTTTTGTTTTTATACATTTATGATATTATATGTAATTTAATTATAGTCAAACTCTGTATAAGGTATGTAACATTGTTTTATTTCCGTGCAAGAAACAGGCTTAGTTAACGATCTGTAAGGTTTCCCTGTTGTTTTATTAAGTGTTCGGTGAAAATCTTTTAATAAAACATTTTATCAAGATAATTGGTGTAATTAAGGGAGAGGGGCAGAGTTATCGTATCAACGTCCGCCGGAGCATGAAATTTTGAAATTATAGTTTTCTTGTTCAATCCTGCTTGCATAGAAAATATAATGAAAATATAAAGAATATTAAATAGTCTTTGAATTTGAAAACGAACATACTTGCAGTGTTCAACCTGTTCTAAAATCATGTGTATAATCTGACAGAGAAACAATGTACATGTATATACCTGGCTATACAAGGGCGGGCGAGGGCTGTTCCCATGGGGTACCTGTCCTCGTACAGTCCATTAGCTTGTATTGATGGCCAAATAAATTCTTCTACAAACTCTTTGCGGACATCCGGTATAACCATCTATAACAAAAATCTTAAATATTAAAATGTCATCTTGATGTTAAACATATCATATTACGATTCAACAAAATTATAGTAAGATTCAACAAAATTATAGTTAGATTCAACAAAATTATAGTTAGATTCAGCAAAATTATATCTAGAATTCCTGCTGTGATTCTAGTAATCAGGCTTTACATAAGACACGATATGTAACTCACTTCCGGATTTTTTTTCAGCATCTTTTTTACATGTACTTTATTTGTAATTTTAATACTACGGAAGCCTGAATGGGACACCAGAATGAAGAGATGATCAGGCACCGGAACATAATGTTGTTGCCTTTTCGGGCAATTTTAAGGAAAAAACAAATGCCGTGTTACTAAGATTTTATGTCCAGTAATCTTTATACAATTTACCTTGACAGCACCTAGTTTCAATGCTTTTTTCCTAGCTTCATCAAAGTCTTCTTCTTGTCCAACATCAGCCTGTCAATATAAGTAGAAAACATACTTCTATCATAGTTTGGGGACCTTTCTGTTGAAAATGTGTGCGTTAACTGGAGTGCAGGTATTAGATACCCGCACTCCAGAGCATACGCACTGATTGGCTCATTTTTGTTGGTGTTTACTTATTGTGACGGCAGAGAAATGGAAAGTGACAGAAATATCATATTCAGATGCTTGTTCATTGGTTACTTTTTTTCTGGGGTTTCATGTTGACATCATTTGCCTCAAGTGAATTTTATAAGAATCTTTACAGAGAGGACAATATCTGGCTTGTGGCAAGGTGTCAAATGACAACGAGGCTCTGTAGACTTTCCGCTTAATTCTTGTTCAAGCATAAATTTGTCATAGGGTACATATATAGAGGATATTGAATGAGTGTAAGTTCAATACTGAATTTATTGCACGAGTTGAATAATATTGTTTTATTCAACTAGTGCAATAAATTCAGTAATGAACTTACACGAATTTAATATTCTATTTATCACATACCCAAAATAAAGACCGTTAAAAGTGAAATAAGAGTCATTTTTCATTGACGCGCCTATAGTATAACGCGAACATTTAGCGCGTCTTTACACCATGTTTGTATAACGCTAATGACGTCACGTCAAAATATATGCACGGCCGTGCAATACCATGTTTACGGAGTCGCAAAATCGGCACGGGTGTGTGATAAATATATTTATTACATAGTACTGGCAAATGTTTATTATCCTATAAACCTTTTTACAATACGATTCTTCCATAGCAACCAATGTTGCATTTCGCGCATGCGCATTCTGCGTAGGGCAAAAGCGCATTAAAATTGACAAAAGTGAATGATACTTTTTTTTAGTTTAATCATATTTTATTGTATAAATATACACACAATATACAATTTCATAATTTTACAGACATAATCAAGTGTACATACAAAAGGGTTGGGCCAAAAGTTCTAACAACATTATCGTGGGCCCTTCCCTGAGGTTAGTCAGAAATAAGTTTATACTATTTGAATAAAGTTGTGTGATATCAAATAATTATCAATTTCAGTTTTAAGTAATTTTCAGGAACTAATTTTCATGAACTAATTTTAACAAATGTTTTATATGTAAATATAAATTAATCAAATGAACATTTAACAGAGAAAAATATATATATAAAAAATAGAAATATAGATAAGCATTATAATAAAATTATGATACTAAGAGTGATTAGATTAAGTTATTTAAATATCTTAAATGTATAAAGTATAAGTTTCAAAAGTCAATAGTGTTCCATTTTAAGTTATTTATAGCTTTTGAATTACGTTTTCTAAGTATCAAATTTTGAGAAAAAGGAATAAATAATAGAATGAAATAACAAAATTATTGTATTTGTTACAAAAATTGAAAAAAAATACTATTAATAAATAAATAAATACAAAAATATTCACCGCACAATACCCTGCTTAATCTTAAAGTACTGTTTCAGCAGTAAAATGTTTGACTTTATTCAATTAAATCTCTTGCTTGATTTAATAAAAGTCTGTACTTCTTTAAAAAGAATTTCATTTTCGGATTCAGATCGCCCTTCTATTCCAAACAAAAGTTTTCGTACACTAAGAGCATGAAAAGATCTTGTATTTAAAAACAATGTTCTTCTTTGTTCACTGTATAAATTGCATTTAAAAAAATAGTGTTCTGAATTTTCAATATGTGCTCCACATAAACAAGATGGACATGAAACAATGTGATTTTCATATAAATCCGAATTAAGGTTACTGCAATTATTTCTTAAACGAGTATGATGTACAGTAGAGAAGCGTTCACCTTTAATGAAAAATGAAGGGACCGATGGGGATTTAAATATTTTTTTAAAGATTTGCTTTAAAGGAATGGAGGGATTCTGATTCACGTATATTAATTGGAAGTTTATTCCATAGTTGTAGTGCTGATGGTAAGACGGATTTCGAATAAATTTCTGTTCTTCTGACAATTGATGCGTAGTCTTGATTGTTTCTTAAAGAATATGGGTTTTCATGTGCATATTGTACAGATGGGGGAAATAATTGTATTAAATAAAGTGGTAATAAATTGTTTTTGCCTTTGTATATTAAAACTAATTTTTGAATATGTCTCCTATCTGAAAGCGAAACCCAACCTATTTCTGTTAACAATTTTTGTATAGTAACGGATCTTGTCAATCCTGTAACAACACGGGCAGCTTCATATTGAATTTTTTCTAATGTTTCTTTCTCGTATTGCGCACAGTTATCCCAGACTAAAGACGCGTATTCTAAATGTGGACGTAAATATGATACATATATATTATTAAATAATTCTCTTTAAATTTTGAATTTGAGCATTTTCATGGAACCGAGTATTTTAGAGGCTTTAGATACTATGTTAGTTATATGTTGATGCCAAGACCCATCTTGACTAAATGTGACCCCAAGATGTTTATGATGTTCGACAAAATTGAGTTGTACATTATCGAAGAATAATTTTGGTTTGATCATATTAAAAAAAGAAAAAAAATATTGCTTCGGTTTTTGCCGGATTGAAATTGACTAACCATTGCTTAGACCAACTTGTTATTGTCGCTAGATCCCTGTTTAACGTTTCTTCCATAAAGGTTATGTTTTTTGAGGACACAGAAAGAGAACTGTCGTCTGCGAAAAGTCTAGTAATACTTAAGAGCGAGTCTGCTATGTCATTGACATAAATTAAAAATAATAAAGGACCAAGTAACGAGCCTTGAGGGACGCCCCCTTCTAGAGTTGATAAAGAAGAAAATGTCGAAGATACAAAAACTTTTGGGTTCTGTTATTTAAGTAGTCTTTTAACCATGTATTTAGTTTCCCTTGTATACCGTATTGCTTTACTTTGAAGATGAGACCAGAATGCCAAACTCTATCGAATGCTTTCGAAATGTCACAAAAATAATACAAGTAGATTCTTTACTGTCAAATGCTTTGCAAATTTGGTTATATATATCAATAAGTTAATACTCTGTAGAATGACCTGGCAAAAACCCAGATTGATTTTGGTATATTAAAGATTTTGTATGGAGATAATTATACATATGTTTAAAAATTATGCGTTCCATTACTTTACCAACACAGCTTATTAATGAAATTTGTCTATAATTTGATGGTTCATCTTTATTACCTTTTTTAAAAAGAGGCATAACATGTGCAAGTTTCCAACTGCTAGGATAGTAACCTTCATTTAACGAATGATTAAAAAGTATACACAGTGGAATACATAAGGTTTCCGAAGTTTCTTTCAACATTGTATGGCTTATTTCGTCTGGTCCAGAAGCTTAATTTATAACTAAATTTGTTAATACATCTTTTATTTTTTTGTTCACAAATATTAAAGTCTTCTAATTTTGAGTTTGTTTTGAAACTAAAGTCTGGAAGTTGGGTATGTGAATCATCCAACTGAGAGATTGAACTGAAGAAAGAGTTTAAAGTATTGGCTTTGTCTAAGTCTGATAAGGAGAATGTGTTATTATTATTTCTTAAAGGTGGTATAGAATCGTTTTCAGCTGAATTATTCTTAACTAACATTTTAACTATTTTCCAATATTGTCGAGGGTTTGAGCTATTAAGATCATGCAAGGAAAATTCTAAACTATTGTAAAATAACTCTTTTGCGTTTTTCTTCATATTGTTTACTTTGTTTCGAATTTGTTTATATTTAGTCCAATCTGATGTGTTATTACTATTTATTGCTTTGTGAAATAATCTGTCGCTCTGCCTTAAACTTTTACGAATATTACTGTTAAACCATGGCTTATCTTTTGGCTTAATAAATGCAAAATACGACGGGATGCACTGATTAACTAAATCCATGAATTTTAATGTAAAAGTATTGCAAGCTTCATTTATATTTAAAATATTAATAAAAGTCTAGTCGGTATCTCTTATTAAATTATTCAGTTAAACAAAATCTGCATTCTTATAGTTCCAAATTTTCCTTTTAAATGGCATATTTGAATCGAAATTAACCTTTAAATAAGCAAATGTTCCATAATGGTCACTTATTTCATTATCTGTTTCAAGAACTCCTGAATCAAAAACTTGAATATTGTTTGTTAATGCGATAGGGTCGAGAAGAGTTTGCGAATTATGGTTTACCCTAGTCGGGATGTTAATAATATTTTTCATGTTATTTGTCAAAAGTATATCTTTAAATTTATGATTTTGCATGTTGAGCTGATCTTCATTTACATCTCCTACTAATATTAATGATACTTTAAGGCTTTAATAGTCGTGATTCCATGTTATATCAACCAGAAAACATCAATTTTGGGATGACTTAAAGCGGTTAGTACTTAAAACGTTAATTGATATTTATAACAGACATAATAAATATGCAGGACTAATAATCCAATGTTCAAAAGCGCATACAAAAGACGCCTGTTTAATTAGGCGACTTTTTCATTCGTAATTTAAATTTAAACAGCAGGGTGTTAAAGACTGACAATATAACAGATTCTGTACATTCAATAGATACAAATGCCCTACTTTTACAACTTTCTAAGGATGTGAAATTAATGACAGAGAAGCAAAATTTAAAAATAGACTCACTAGAGGAGAAGGTCGCATCGTTGAGAAGATGATAACGGAGCAAGTTATTGATAAAATCACAAAAGTTTTTGACAAACGCATTAGTACTGACGTGTCAAAGATTAAAAAAGACTTTACAAAGGATATGGAAAACCGGCTAAGTGATTTAAAGTCTGAACTAACAAATGATATGGAAGAAGTGAATCAGCGGTTGGAAGAGATGGCCAAATTGCAAACTACAGAAACTTTGGTGAGCAACAAAGATACTACACGCAATATTGTGGTGCGGAATCTACCGTACAATGTTTCTGAAGATATTACAAAAAGAATGTCAGACTTGGTTAAAAAAGTATTGCAAATACCGGACATTTCATTTGTTAATGTGGAGAGGAGGGAATCTACGAGGGAGAATGTTCCAGGAATTGTAGTTTGTGAGTGTAGA